TTATATTTTCTACAGTGAAATCTAACATATGTCACTTAATAATAATAATAATAATAAAAATAATAAAAATAATAATATAGAGTCATTCAGTCAAAGAATAAATATCCCGAGGTCGAGGGTAGTCCTTTAGACTTTACAGAAATTTAATTCTCCTTGATGCCTTTGATCGTGGTTTTGACTACTTTTTAATTTTTAATAATACAATATTTCTTCTTGAAAAAATAAGATTATATTTAATATATTTATTTTCTATTCATTTTAATAATGTTATCTTTTAAAATATATAATTATCAAATAATTTAATTATTTAGTTTTCAAACCCATTTCTTAAGTTATCAAAAAAAATATGTTAATAAGTTAACTGTTATTGTAGGAAGTGGTTGTTTTATATAACATGTTCAATTTATTAATTTATTTTATAATTTTAATATTATTTGAATCACGAAATTAAATTAAAAAAAATGAACAAATAATATACAATATAATTATTTGATATATTGTGAATCAATATTCCTATTCCTCAAATGAAGTTATATATATATATATATATTGTTTCGAGTTAAAATAATAGATATATAAGGGCAATTTTATATTAAAAACCTTAAATAAATAATTATTTAAAGAAATAGAGTCTTCTAGAAATTATTTAGAAGAATAACCCACAAATCATCCACATCGACGCGGCCTGCAAACCGCGTGTTAAATCCTCGCATCCTCCAACACACGATATACATCTGACGTGGGCGTTCTTTCCAGGTAAGCTAATAAAACAATTCGATAAAATGACTTCGAGCATTGCGAAGCACAAGGTAACCTTTATAATCCAAAATAACGCGAGATTTATGGGAATCTTGATGTTTGCAAAGCACAAGGTTCTTTCGAATTCAATATAGCAACCTAATTTGAAACGTATAAATTAAATGAATATAATAAATGAATATAATAATTATTAATAATATTAATTATTAAATAAAATAAATAATTAATATATATATATGTATATAGTAATTAAAATAGATATTTTATAAAAAAATAATTATAATATATTTTGTAAATTTTGAAATAATGAAAATTATATGTATAAAATATTAAATATAGTAAATAATTAATGATATTATAATTATAATATATTTTGAAATTTAAAAGATAAAAACTGATAGCAATCTCGCTTCTTGCAAACAATGAGGTACTGAGAACAGAATAAATTCCGCGTGTTTTCAACGTAATTCGCATCTTTTAGGATGCGAGTTGCATTTGAAATCGCATTTCCCCGGGTGCGAGAAGGGCTATAAATAGGGCTTTCCACTCTTATTCATCACCACATCCATCTCTTTCATATATTCAAAGATTCAAAGATTTCATATTATAGCAGCGAGTCTATTAAGATATTATCAAAGTCACATATTCGATTATTGGAGGCGAAATGATGAGGTAAATTAATTAATATTATTTTTTATTTTTACTATTTATTTATTGATTGATTTAGTTTATTTGTTTTGGTATTTAAATAATTTTTAATATTTATATTTTGTAAGGATATGAACGTGTATTGGAGTGTAATATAAATCGTGTAACACCAACAGATGCGAATATTATTGACTATTTACATTTAGCGGGTTTCAGATATATTAGTAGTAGAACTGGTGATGGTGTGAAGTTGGATCCTCCACTTATAAATGCGTTGGTGGAAAGATGGAGACCGGAGTCACACATGTTTCATTTACCGTGTGGGGAGGCAAATATTACCTACAAGATGTTGCATTTCATCTGTGACTGCCTATTGATGGAGCATCTATTATTAGTGTTGTCGACGCCCCTAGAAACGTATGTGAGATATTGCTCGGAATTGATCGACCTTTTGATGCACGCAATGGGGAAAAAATTAAAATTAAAATTTTTGATGAAAATTTTACGAATCTACACCAGAATGAGGAGCATGAAGTGAATGAGGTAAATATAAATGTTTTTATCTATGAATATTTATTAATATTTTAATTTATTTATTTAATTTTTGGAAATTAAGTAGTTATATTATTTTATTAATTTTTTTTAAACGATTTACTCGTGCACATATACTACGAGTTATTGGGGGATTTTAATGCCAAACAAATCCCGAAATAAGGTTCATCTAATGTGGTTGAATCATTTGCAAAACTTGAGTGTTTCAAGAAATATAAGTTGGGGGTGTTTATTGTTGTTGCAATCGTGGTCATGGATCTGAATGTCATTTTTATGCTCGATCCTTAAAACACATATCTCATATGAATTTTCGTTACTTAAGAGGTAAAAAAATTAACTTTTATCTATTTTTTATAATATTACTAACAAATAATGCAATTCTATTGTATTAATGATAGATGGAATGATGAAACATTTCACTCTCACTTACCAAGACATCTACGAGACTTTAGACACTTAATCGATAAGTTTGGACATTAGTTAATAAAATATTTTCCTTCGACTTTTATCTTATAGTTTTAAAATAATTTAATTTATTTGAGGTTTTTAGCTAACAAAGTTATGTAATTTTAATTTTATAGTTCTTGTGGACGTCTTACTGCGATACTGCTATTGCAGACTGTATATCACATGAGATTCGAGTGACTAATGCGTCCATGTACATCCTGTTAGTCCCGCTGATCCTGTATGAGATAGTCAGGTGATATCCTACCGAGCGCGTCTTTCGAAAATTTAACTGCGTTCAATCAATTTCGCCACATCCACCTTGCTTGGATGAATTGCATTGATTGACGCGACAAGTGAAGACGAAAATTAATTGGGCGGACCATAATGTGATGTATCTGAACGAGTGGGTCCGAAGATTCGAGATGACGCCTATGACTCAACCCATAATCAACCATAGCGTGACATATGATTATATGCGATGATACCAAAAATATGGGATGCCATATATATTAACCGATGAAGAGCGAGCGCGAGAATTATATGTTCCTCCACATAGTCACCCATGGGCGAGGAGGTAACGTGGGGGGAGTCAAGGCAAAGAAGAAGAAGACAACAAGGTGCATCCTTCTCATCGACAACAACAAAGGGACCGTCTCAGACACTGCTGACACACCTCGACCCTGTCTTCACCCACTCGACTCAATCAGTATTTCAGCAAATGGGGCAGTTCTCGAAAGGTTTCCTCGCCAACGTCTTTGACTAGTTGAATTCACCACCGACACAATTGGCGGCTAATTTTGGATCTGATATTGTTTAGCAGACGCCGCCGCAGAGCATATTCTACACCAATCCCAATTCAAGTGCTAGTGGTAGATCGATTCCATATACAACTATCAGTCCTGATGATGATGGTATTGCTGAAGAGGAATATGAAGATGAACCACAATTACATTTATATCGGACTCATCATCCACCACGATGCGAAATTGGTGGACATAGACATTATTAGTTATTTATTTCGTTCTTAAAAACTGAAATATTTGTACTAAACTATTTTGATTTCTTCATGCACCAAATCATGCATTCCAACCTTTTTTAACACAATTTTTACCACACTAAAATATCTCGTATGTGGCTAAATTAGCCTTAACATAATTATAAGTTGTAATACTATACCTCTAAGCATATAAATTATGAAATCACTCATATTTATAAGCCATAAATAACACTTCAATATGTCTATCAAACCATTTTTTTCTTCTTCCTTCATAAAACTATGATTTCTAATCATTTTCGACGCCATTATAACCTCGCTTAAAATGTTTTATAAATAATAATATTATAGTCACCTTAAAGATAAATCACAACACTACACATTTAGAATTAAAAAAAAATCAGTTTCCCACCCGAAAATAGTATCCGAACAAGGCTATGGACACTTAAGGGAGGGTAGAGAATCTATTGTCATCGCGCTTTGCAGGCCACGAAGTTCCCATAAATCTTTCGATATTTTAGATCATAAAGGTTACCTCGCGCTTTGCAATGCGTGAGGTCATTTTATCCAATTTTTTTATCGGTTTACTTGGAAAGTGCACCTACATCAGAAATATCTCACGTGTGCGATGATTTAACACGATGTTTTTAGGCCGCGGTGTTGTTCAATATGGACAATTTGAGTTATTTTTTCAAATAATTTCTGGAGGATTTTATTTATTTAAATAATTATTTATTTAAAGTTTTTAATATAAAATTACATATATATATATATATATATATATATATATATATAAAGAAATAAATAATGAGACTGACAAGTTACTTGAATTGATGGTAGGTGATCCCCACTATCTATGTTCAATAATTCATCCCTACCGATCAAGACAATGAAGACGTACGGATGTATATCATTGTAAATGAGCAGGGGTCCTACCACTGGCATATGTATGTACATCTACAATTATTTTGAAATTCAAATTTTTTATATTATTCATTTTATTATATATATTTATCTTAAAATTTTATTGTATCCATCTTAAACTTTTATTCATGTTTACTTTATTTAATTTTTTATTATTATTTATATATATATATATACCTTAAAAAATATTTCTAACCGCCACTGGCCCTGTATGTTTTTTATTTTATCAATTTCCCCCACGGGGGAAGATGGTGCGAGGATAGAGGTGCTCATTAATCAGAGCTATGGCTTGAGGTGCCCTACATATAAAAGAAAAAGATAACATATTCAAAAAGCAGCCCTACAAGATCCAGACCTAACCCTAGCTACCCTACCACACAACCACGTGAATAAGATCATGGATAGTATTTTTTATGTATGTGCGTATGAAACAGAAGTGCAGAGTATCTGTATTAATGTATGCATCATGGATGCTGTTATCTTTTCCCATGGTCTATGTTATATATATATACAGAGAGTGGGGACAGTGTACACGTGCAACGCCGGCATTTATAGAACTCATCTGCCCCTCCTTTGATCAATCATAAGGTCATTCCCAGGAATCAGGACCCTCCATCTCATTTTGCCACTTCTTCTAATGTTGTCTCAAGGGGCCTCATTTTAATCATAATTCCTTTGTTCTGAATTTTGAGATTGAGATTCACCTCCGAATCATTTCCACGGTCCAAATATTTTTTCTCTTGAACGTAAATTATAATAATCGCTTATAGTGCACCAATATCTTCACCTTCTCTAATTACAAGTATTTGATGTCAAGGTTGCAGGGATGTGATCTATGTGATGAAGATACCTTGATGAACTTAAATGACAATCTTTCTTTAAGCGGGCACATCTGTGTTTTCTTCCGATCGAAAGAGTAAAGATAATTGGTTGATCAAAGTAGTTGGATTCGACGAGACGTCCGTGGTTATGTATAATGAAATTATAATTGATCGATGTTGGAGAAAAGACGATACTCACAAACACATGCCATGCACCACTGACAAGGAATGAGCAGCATTTAAATCTGAAAGCACACGACCAAGCAACGCTCGCCTGCTTCATAACCAAAGACGACACAAATCAATCCACGAGGTCGGTCGTCAGCAATAATCGCCACCGTTAACAACACGGAATCTTAAATCTTTTGTTTAAATCTAATGACGACGACGATGATCTCACTCTTATCTTCTCTCTCTTTTTCAATATGCTCACACACGCACGCATAAATCTCTGACCTCTGCAACCGACTTTGCATTTACTACCCCTCACTCGGTCACTCAGGTGCCCTTTTGTAGGCCTTAGCCTTTTTGAGACTCCCCAAATAACCTTATCTTCTCCATTTTAAGGGCTCTCTCTCCATCATATATTTGCATTTTCAACTAACCTGTTTTGTTGCAGAAGAAGATGTTAGCAGTGCAAGAAGTTTTGAGTGAACTTAGTGGGGAGGAATTGAACGAGCAGGTATTGCCACCTGGGTTTAGGTTTCATCCTACAGATGAAGAGCTCGTTACGTTTTATTTGGCTTCCAAGGTCTTCAACGGAAGCTTCTGCGGAGTGGAGATCTCGGAGGTTGATCTTAACCGATGTGAACCTTGGGAGCTTCCAGGTATTATTATCATATAATATACTATTAAATACTCTAAATTGAGTGTTATTTATGGTTATTACAAGCAAATAAATCGAGTGGTTTGTTTTGTTTGTGGTGGATGAATGGAAAAGATGTGGCGAGAATGGGGGAAAGGGAGTGGTATTTCTTCAGCTTGAGGGACAGGAAGTACCCGACGGGGGTGAGAACAAACAGAGCTACCGGAGCTGGGTACTGGAAAACCACCGGAAAAGATCGGGAAGTGTACGGCGCCACCACTGGAGCACTACTTGGCATGAAAAAAACACTTGTTTTCTACAGAGGGAGAGCTCCCCGTGGAGAGAAGACCAAGTGGGTCATGCATGAGTACCGTTTAGACGGTGACTTCTCCTGCCGCTACACGTGCAAGGTATGTACACGTGCACAGAAAAACACCTTTTCTTTTATTGGTTTCTTGGTTGACATTTTGCTGATAGTAACGTTACACGTGTCGTCGAATTGTGTGCATTGCCTTGGAGTGTAGTTTTCCGATGTGATTGCTTCCGTTTTCACTCACTAGTTGCATGGTTATTGTTTATGCACAAGATAAACTAGATTTGGAAAAAGGCTAAGAAAGCATATATTATTAAAATAGATGGTTTGAAATTATTATTGTATGATTGAAATATCATCAATGATTGTAATAGTACTTGTGATTGTAATAGTACTTGTTATGTTCAAAATTACGATAAACATATCGTAATTAATAATCTCAACTGTAATTTAAATATGAGGGGAGCCTATACATTCATGTTATTATTAGTACAAGATGATCCAAAACCCCTATTTCATTTGATTCTTCTTTGCTTTATAAATATTCATAATATTATCTTCAAATGGTACCTTATTATACAGGAAGAATGGGTGATTTGCAGAATATTTCACAAAAAAAGTGAGAAGAAAAATGGTCTAGCTCAACCACAAAGCTATATCTTGGATGTTTCCTCTTCAACAACAACCTTTCCTCATCTGATTGAGACCCCAAATCCGTTCTTGGAATCTCAATCTCAAACCTCAATGCAAACCCAAAGATCTTTTATGGAAAACGACCTGAAAAGCTTAATAAACCCAGTGGTATTATTCCCAGGTAATAATAATGGGTTCCAGCCCTCCTTTTCAGCCACACCCGACAAGAGCACCAGCAACTCATCAGCAACATCGATGCTCTTCAAGTCCCTCGTCTCACGTCAAGATAGCATTCTGAAGGAACAAGCTGCTACTATTCTCAAAAAGTGCAAGACTGAGGCTAACCTTTCCCATTTCCCACTGCCTGATGCCAACACAATGAGTTGGATGGACAAGATTCATCCCCTTAATACGTGTCAAAATCCCATGTTTTTCGAAATTGATTATAATAATAGCCTGTTGGGGTTCGCTGACTATATATGAATGTCATAATATATTAGCAATTAGTTTATATGAAATGTAAATGACTTTATGCATGTGTGCTTGTAAGATTCCTGGAGCTAAGTAAAGGCGTAGCAAGTGATTGTACCATATGTGTTTTATCTATAGTTTGCAAAACTTTTCCCTCTCATCTGTCAGCTGTTCTTGAAGTTCTCGTTTAAAGCCAAGCCAAGACATACCAAAAATAAAGCCTGCGGTTTCTTTGGCCGATTTGATGTGTTGAATATTGTGAATTTGGGATGAACCGTGAGATAATAAGAAACATAAGGTTCATTTCATTTAAGCCGAAGTGTAGTCCTTGAAACTTTATTAAAAGTGCAGCCATAATAAGTCCAAGATTAATAGACCATTCCCGATCACCCCCTCCCATCTCCAGCAAGCTCTTCCGTCAGTCATCGACGTTGGTGCATTCTGGGGTTGGGTCTTCTGTTTTGTCTGATAAGAGGGGTTGTGCCGAAGTTTTTAGGCCTCCTATGAATCCCCTATGTTTTTCTTCCCCTCCCTCTTATATGAATGTTGTGGTTTACGATTTGGAATTGGTCATATATGTATGTATGTATATATATATATATATAGTGTTTTGATTGATTTAATGTCATCGATCAATCAAATTCCACGTCTTTCTTTTAAATAGTGATGGATATCACCAGGAAGAGACAGTGATGACATGTTTAAAAATGGTCTAACACGAACTTTTCGCAAATAAGGCATTGCCTGATCAGGTTCTTGTCTTCCTGACGTTCTGCTACTATTACCAGAGGAAGACGAAAGACACTGCCAGCAGCAGTTGAAACCCTAAAGCAAACATGGAACAAATCAAAACGAAAGCGTGCCTGATTTTCATCTTGAGATTTGAGCCAAGGAATTGCATTTTATTCGGGACAAACTTCTAGGGACCATAATTGAAATGGCTCAAAGGCACTGATCTAAATAAACGCAGAGTAATGAACCTTTTGAAATGGCTCAAAGGCACTGATCTAATTGAAATTTCTTTCCAGCAATGTACTCTCTATATGTTTTGAATGTACGGCGATCTTCGAATCGGAACAAATACCATAATAAAACTGAGAGGAGCATCCATGGGTTACTTGGGAAACTCAAAGTTAAAGATCGTGGTACTTGAGACTTTAAAATAAGTGCAGCCATAAGTCCTATCTGGGTCTTAACTGATTCAAGATTCAAACATAACTAGAAACACACACTCATACGAACAACACGAACAGAGAGCACAGATGATCGATTAACAACATAATAATCCAAATTATTCAACATGGGGTACTCTTGTATTCATTTAATTATATTTGATTCTTCTGCAAAAGTCTGAGAAGAACAAACGATTGGAAACAGAAAAGTTATTCTAAGCCAAACAAATGCATTCAGCTCTCTCTACATACCTAGAAACAATATGCAGAAATCTTGGAGAAACCTCATTTTTTGTAGCGAGACATGGAGCTAAAAAACCTTGGGTATAAAGATACCTGCATCGAGAAAATCATGTAATAGTCAGCCAGCATCCAAGAGTATATCCATTTAGCAGCATGTTTCCCTCAGCACTTAAAAGTTAAAGAGCAGAACTCTAGACAGTCATAGAATGAGCAAAAATTAATGTGTCGACAAATCCGCCTTGATGTAATTAAAACAACTAGCCTTGATGCAATTCAAAACTCACTGAAATAACTTTACAGTTCTACATGAGACGAAAAATTCGGCTAGAACCAACAATTATCAGAGAAATAAAAGTATAGTCGAAAAAAATTTGTTTCGAATGAATCTCTTTTATTTCTGCCGAATATGACTGACTTAAATAGAGTTTACAATGTAACAACTTTACATAAAAAGATGCATAAAATTAGCAACAGAATAAAACTGATCCTATCTAATAACTAACATAATAAAATATCTAGTTAACAATCCTAATATTTAATTTAGATATTCTCGACACCCCCCCCTCAAGCTGGAGAATAGATATCGATCATTCCCAGCTTGGACAGAAATCCTTCGAACATCGTAGTAAACAGTCCCTTGGTAAGAACATCGGCGTGCTTCTCTGATGATGGAACAAACGGTATGCAGATATCGCCATTTTCCAGCCTCTCCTTGATGAAATGTCGATCTATTTTGACATGTTTGGTCATGTCATGCTGTACAGGATTCTGAGCAATACTGATTGCCGATTTGTTGTCGCAATACAACTTCATCGGTTTATCTCCTTCAACCTTCAGCTCCTCCAAGATTCTCCTAAGCCATAACAGCTCACATGCTCCTTGCACCATGGCTCTGAACTCGGCCTCTGCACTGCTTCTAGAGACAACTAGTTGCTTCTTGCTTCTCCAAGTAACTAAGTTGCCCCAGACAAAGGAGCAATAACCTATGGTAAATCTTCTGTCTGTAGAACTTCCGCCCCAATCAGCATCAGTGAAGATCTCCACTCTTCGACTTCCATTCTTCGAAAACATGATTCCTTTACTCAGACTCCCTTTCAAGTAATGAAGAATCCGGTAAACAACCTTGAAGTGTTTTTCTGAGGGACAATGCATAAACTGACTAACCAAGCTCACAGCAAATACAATATCTGGTCTCGTATGAGCCAAATAAATCAGTTTCCTCACCAGCTTCTGATACCGATTCTTGTCCACAAGCTCAGCACCATCTTTTTTTTCGAGTTTTTGATTTGGATCAATAGGAGTCGCCACTGGTTTACATCCGAGTAATCCGGTCTCTTTCAAGATATCGATGACATATTTCTTTTGCGAGATAATTATACCTTTTGAGGATCTAGTCATCTCCATTCCAAGGAAATATTTGAGTTGTCCTAGATCCTTGACTTCAAACTGGTTGGATAAGAAGTTCTTCAGCGACTCCAACTCTACTGTGTCATCTCCTGTCATAACAATGTCATCAACATACACAATTAAAATAGCAATTTTACCATTATTTTGTTTGTAGAACATAGTATGATCGGACTGGGCCTGAGTGTAACCATGTTGTTTCACAGCTCTCGTGAATCTCTCGAACCAGGCTCTCGGAGATTGTTTCAATCCATAAATGGATTTCTTTAGCTTGCAGACCCTGCCATCCTTCTTCAATTCATCAAAGCCTGGAGGAACTTCCATAAACACCTATTCCTCTAGCTCACCGTTTAGGAACGCATTCTTCACATCAAACTGTCTGAGAGTCCAATCAAGATTGGCGGCTAGTGAGAGTAGGACACGTACGGTGTTTAGTTTGGCCACAGGAGCGAAGGTTTCCTCGTAGTCAAGGCCGTATGTCTGAGTGAAGCCTCGTGCTACGAGTCTTGCTTTGTATCTCTCGACCGAGCCATCTGCATGGTATTTGATGGTGAACACCCACTTGCTACCTATAGATTGTTTCCCCTCAGGTAAAGGAATTACCACGTGTCATTCTTCTTCAGGACCTTTAACTCCTCAAAAACTGCCTCTCCATCTCGGAACCTCTAAAGCTTCATGTATCGACTTAGGTAGTTCATCATCCATAATCCTGGTGGAAAAAGCTTTGAAATCTGGAGAGAGTTTATGATAAGACACGAAATTGGATATTGGATGTTTTGTGGTACATGATCTGACACCTTTGCGCAAGGTTATGGGTTCAAAGAATTCTGTAGAAGGCTCTAAATTTGGAGAAGAAATAGGAGAAAGAGAAGTCGTACCTTGGACCATAGTCGAGTCCGATGGTTGGCATACCTTGGAGGCCGATGGAACATTACTTGGTCGAGTCATCCTTCTAGAATAAGCACGAAGTTCAGTAGGTGGTTCCAAGTTGATTTCTACCTGAGTCTCACGAGGTTGTGAATTTATAGGTTGTAAAATCCTAAGATTAGTTACAGGAATATGAATTGGTTCCACTGAGCTATTTACAACCAATTTTGGCAAGGATGTTTGTATTCAAAAACTCATTTCAGAGTCATTCTCCCCCGGAAGAGAGTTTTTGTCAAAAAAAGGTTGTTTTTCAAAAAACGTGACATCCATACTCACATAATACTTCCCAGATTTAGGATCAAAGCATTTATACCCTTTTTATGTTGGTAAAAAACCTAGAAATATGCATTTATGTGCTCGAGGATTAAGTTTTCCTCTATTTTGGCCGTGTATATGAACAAAAGCAATGCAACCAAAAATTTTAGGTGTTAAATCAGTGAAAGATCTATTTTCAGGAAACATATTCTTTAGAGCTTGCAAAGGAGTGATATAATTAAGAACTCTTGTAGGCATTCAATTTATCAAATAAGACGCTGTTAAGAGTTCTTCATTCCAAAAACGATTAGAAACATTCATAGCAAACAGTAAAGCCCTAGCCACATCTAATAAATGCCTATTTTTTCTTTCAGCAACTCCATTTTGTTGGGGAGTATTAACGCAAGAACCGTGATGAATAATTCCTTTTTGTTTCAAAAAATCACCTAAGATTGCATTAAAATATTCTTGGCCATTATCGATTCTAAGATCTTGAATATTTGCTTGAAACTGAGTATTGATCAGTGAGTGAAAATTTTTGAAAACACTTGCTGCCTTGGATTTTTCTTTTAGTAAATAAATCTACGTGACTCTAGTGTGATCATCAATGAATGTGATGAACCATCTAGATCCTGAGGCTGTTTTTACTCGTGAAGGGCCCCAAATATCACTATGCACAAGAGAAAAAAGTTTTGATGGAATATACTTTAAAGATGGATAAACAGATCTATGATGTTTTGCCAATTCACAAACTTCACACTGAAAAGAAAAACCGTCCTTTTTTTTGAAAAGATTTGGAAACAAATATTTCAAGTAATTAAAACTAGGATGGCCTAACCTATAATGCCACAACATTATTTCATTCTCACAAGACAAGGTAGTGAAGCATCTTGATTTCTGAACTTGTTTATCTGAAGGATTTTCCGTGACCAAGTGATAGAGTCCATCAACCTCCTTAGCATTGCCAATCATCTTCCCCGAACAAGAGTCCTGAAATTCAAATCCAGCAAATGTTATTGTAGCAATGCATTTGCAATCATGAATAATACGATTAACAGAGATGA